AATCTAATCGAAAACAATATTGTTCACTTATATATGTTGTTCTAATAATGAAATAACAAAAGTGTCAATATAGACTTCTTAAACATTTGATTTGATAGACTCCTTCAAATGATGATCCTCATCATGAACTGATATTATCCTGAAAATTAATGAAAACTAACCAGCAGTAAACTTTTTTTTCTGTAGACTCGTTTATGATGTACACTTACAAATCAATACAGAATTAAACTAACAATCCATAGCATTAATGATAAGTTGAAGCTACAGAGTGGCAATACAATGGTCTTAAGATTATTATGTAATTAGATATATTTCTTTCGCTGTTATCAAAGTTGAAGTTTTATAGGTAAAGATGGATAATGACTATCAGTGGTATCCAGGACGTTTGTTTCATCCTATTCGGGATTCGTCAGCTGGATATATATGAACCCCGCTTGCACAAGCAGGCAGCCATTAGGACTCAGTAGCTAAGTGGATAACCTGATAGTGTTTGAAGTGGAAGGTACTGGGTTCAAGTCTCGAACTAAACATCAACTCTGGGATATCAGACAATATCAAGGAAGTTCGAAAACAAGATGCAGATATGCCAACAAGAGACTGATTAATTGTAATCCTAAACAACAGTAGGAAGATACAAGCAAACAATACTAAATGAATAGTTGAAGTTTGTATATCATAGTATTTTACCTAGAATTCAAGGAAGTTTTTTAAAGTTAGTCAACAAAGAGGACAAAATTATCAAGAGCTAATGATATCATAAAAATTAAGAAAAATTCATTTAATATGACTTTAATAATGGTAAACTATTTAAATAAAGAAGGAACTAGAAGAGGATAGTAAGTATATGACTGCTGATATTTTGAAAAATGTACAAAAATTTCTATTATATTACCATTATTCATTTCATAATAGAATTTTGAAATCAGTTTTTTATTTGTATTTGTGAGGATGGTCCACAGGTGAACTCGAGGAAGCTGTAAGAAGCTCGGAAAAAGCCGAAGATATCCCATCCAATCATCTTTTGGAAGAATATCCTAGAATCTCTACGTGTAGCTTCCCGATTGGACAATGCTGATAACCCCCTGTGCACGGATTGGTTAGCTACAATCATGATTTCGTTTTAACGAAAAACCATAAATACCTGGCAGTTTTGTACCATAATTTGACACTGTCTGGAATAACATTCGTTTCACTAGTCTTCTGTCTTCTCATTGCAACTTGGAAGGGTTCTAGAATTCTAGTGTTCAAGTTATTCGCGTTATACCAAGAATATAAGCTCTAGATGTAACAGTATTGAAACTTGCCACTAAAAAATTAAAATCTATAGTGAGTCAGTTAAAGTTAGATCACCATGAAAAACCTGGGTTCAAATCTTGCGGACGAGATCATGGATGCTCACTGTTGAGGAGTCCTATAATAGGACGAAACGGTCGGCCAGTGCTTTCAGGTTTTCAAAGGTAGTTTGACATTCATCATAATGGTTAGTTTGATGGAATTTCTAATAATGTATCATACAGAGATAACTTAGAGCTGCATAAGGATTTATTTAATTTACTAATTCGGAGAAAATTTCGAATGTCATAGTAAATATGACGTACGACATGAACCAATAATAATTAATTAATTATTTGTCTAGTTTTGATGAAGTCTTGCTTGTTGAGCTGGATGGTTTGCTCTGATGATATCGTTCAGAATAACGATGAGAGCTTCATGACCAAACCATCCAGCTTAGAGAACAAAACTGCATTAAAATCATCCGCCTGAGTTACAAATCTTCTCCAACATCTAGTTTGATACCACCTTCTAACTTCCTGATTGTGCTATAGATTTTATCACTTTAATACAAAGTATGCTCCAAAATGGTTTTGCACTGCAAACACCATATGTGTTCTTATGTAAACTACCACTGAATTGAATAACAACGATTACCACATTTTCTGGAAGTTGTGTTATATATGGAAGTGACTCTATTAGATTATTGTTATCAGCAAACCTGTTTTAACAGATTGAAATCATGAGTCAGTTGAAGCTAGATCACCATTGAAAACCTGGAAGCACTGGACGGCCGTTTCGTCCTAGTGTGGGACTCCTCAGCAGTGCGCATCCACGATCCCGCACGCCACGGGACTCGAACCCAGGACCTACTGGCTTCGCGCGCGAGCATTTAACCATTAGACCACTGAGCCGGCATCCAACGGTGTTAATGTCTAAGTTCAACCAATCCACGAAGTTGCGCCACCATATACCATTGTCTTCAGTGAGTTGATATCTCACAATAGACCTGGTTGAACTCCACCGGTAACGGCTTCCCACTAGAACTCCAGGAGTATCTTTTGAAGTCAGTCACTAGTGAGCAGACGATTATTATCAGAAGGGGTTTGTGGTGGTCTAGCTTCAATTGACTTATGATTTCAATCTGTTAAAATTTCTAAAATCTCCACAACCCCTTCTGATAAACCTGTTTTAGTCAAAAGTCTTACTTTCATTGGAAAAAAGTCAAACTATCTCTTTAAACACCTTAACGAATTATCATCTACCAAAAAATCCATTATCGCTAGCAGATTAACCACTTTTATACAATTGCATCTTTTTCATTCATTCATTCTTTCTTTAGTACTAATGTGGTGTGCTACGGATATCGGCATATAGAAGCAGTATGTATCACCAATCAAAAGCAAAATGCCTGGTGGCAGAAGATTAGGAAAAGTGAAAAGAAAAGAACGAGAACAGAGAGTGGTCGGTGTGGAAACGAAGGAACAATAAAGTCTGAGACAACTGATTGACATTTTGCAAATAAAGTATTTACTCCATAGTTCTCAGATTTTACCAAGACATTCTGTAGTTTTTTAATAAAATACATTTACATTTGGTCATTCACCACTGGTGTTCTCGTTCACCACACTAATAGCTATATGATCACGATCTGAAGAGCCTGAAATATTTATTATCATAACTATTTTTATATTTCATACTTTGTACAAGTGTAATCACTAAACACTTTATGAACAGTAGAAACAGTGTAAACATAACAGAAGCTTTTAAAATTATCAACAAGCAGTGAATACCACTTTATTTCACTTTGACAACATTTCCATCAAGTTCTTTCGACCTAACTTTGTATACAGAAAGTGAATGTAATGAATCTCTTATTACCATGGTAAAACAGTTATGTTACTCTAACATTTTATCAAATACATAATCACTTTATTAATTATGTCATAACTTAAAAATAAATTCCCCTGATATTCATTCAAGATGTCACCTTGAATTTTATATAAACTAGATACCTTGATTTGTTACTCATTTGTTGACAATTTGTTTTTATTCATTATCTTTTTAATATTGTAGTGAACAAGAACATGAGTGGAGGCAATCGAATGTATTTGAACACGAAATTACAGAGCATCTCAATAAAATCTGAGAATCATATTAGTAAATCGCTAATTTGAAAATTATTAATCCATCATTTCAAACTTCACTGTTCCTGTCGCAAACATTAATTCAGTGTCTCAGATTTCATTGTACATACGTTTTCATACCAACTGCATTCCGTTTCCGTTCTTTCTTTATAGACCTTCTACTGAAATACATCCTATGTCTGACCACCGTTATATACTATTTATGTGGATATAAGTAACCAACACTACAATATCACTAACAACTTTAACGATTTCCTTATATGACTTCATCTTCAATAATATAAATGCTAATCGATCTTAACTATTTTATTAGATATGTTATTTCCTTATGTTTCATTATTATTATTATTAGCAGCTTTATTCAATATATTTTTGGTACAATATAGAATGGTCAGCACAAAGTATTTCAACAAGTTTCCGTTTCATATTTCTTGATTGATCCTGACAATAAGTGTTAAGTGATCACCAGTTAGATGTTACGAGGAATCGTCAGAAATCAATATCTAAATAATGTATATTCTTTTCGATGCATATCGTCAGCAACCAAAATGTCGCTGATTAGGCGTTTTTGTAACGTGTATAGTGAAAAATCGTAAACTTTTCATAGACTCACTTGAATAGGTTATGCGATTAATAGACATAATGATGTGTTAAGACAAACAAACAAAAAAGATGTAACTTGTTGAAATATCTAAATGGCAGGAACAAGTACCCCAGATATTCAAACATAGCGTTGTTTTAAATTAAACGTCATTGATTACAGTATATAAAATGTTTTACAATAAAATTACTAATGTAAAATTGACCCGGTTTCATTGAATGTGTAGCCTTGAAATATTATGAATTCCTATTATTCTGTAAATTTTGTTCTCCTGGCTTAATTTCAATTTATGAATGAATGAAGCTGTTTAAAATATCATAACTAATAGTTTATAGTAAATTTAAGCTAAATTAAATTGACATTTTAAATAATCACTTGGAGACAAGTAAATATTACCCAGATATTAAAGTAAAATATAAAAGTTATTAAATACTTATCTCACACATGAATAAATTTCTATCGTAGTGATTCTAAGTTTTTTTTGTTTGTTTAAAAATTGAAATTCAATATCCAATTTGTAGTAGAATTCAAGCAGAAATAATATTTTAACGGTTGAGATCATGAGTCAACTGAAGCTAGATCACCATGTAAAACCTAGAAGCACTGGACAGCCGTTTCGTCCTATTGTGGAACTCCTCAGCAGTGCACATCCACGATGCAGCTCGCGGTATTCGAACCCATACCCTTCAGTCTCGCGCACGAACGCCTAACATATAGACCACTGAGATTCAGTGTACTTGTGCGAGACCAGCAGATCCTGGGTTTGAAGCTCGTGCGACGGGATCTTTGATATGCGCTCCTGAGGAGTCTCACAATATGACGAAACGGACGACCAATGCTTCCAGGTTTTCAATGGTGGTCTAACATCAATCGAAACTTACCAATCTCCACAACCCCTATACTGATAAATAGTTTAGAGTAATATCTCTATAGTACTGAAAATAATTTACTTTAATAATAAATAATCATAAATCACTCACACTAATAAATATTGATTGGTCTACATTAGCTTCTTCAAATATAGTACCAAACTGAAATATTGGACAAAATCGATTTTCTGGATCAGTTTTATTGTATAAACATGTACGAAGAAATTTTTTGGATGCCCAATTTTGAATGTTTCGTCTAGGATTAAAGAAAAAAAATTAATTATTATGAATAAACGAATTCTTTTTTGTTTTTCGATTCAAAGTATTTCTTGCATAAGATTAATATAATGTATTACCATAAATGAATGTAGAATAACATTATGAAACCCCAGATAGTGAGTTCATCTGGAAAAAAGGTACAACCATAGGGTTAGGGTTAGGGTAAGGGTCGTAGCCTCTCGATAAACACCTCTTCCCTAAAATCCGTTGTAAACCGATCGTATGTTAGCACCCAAACCTTAACCCTAAACCCTTACCCTAACTCTAAACACCAAACCTATGGACGAGTTTCTATACCTTTTGCATTATGAATTCAGTACCTCTGAACCTTTATCAAACCTTAACAAGTTTTTAAATCATTTAAAAGAAGAATATCCACTGCAATTCATTACTTTATTATATTTTCACTTTGTACTAACTGTCTTCTGATTGGCTAATAATTGTCAAGGTCATTTAAGATTCGTGCAAAGGTCGTCCCCAAATTAGAGTCTCGCCATTATCAAAAGACTTGGCATAAATAAATAATACTCTGGTGTATGTTGCTTATGCTGACATATTTAAGTAGTATGGAACACTTGTCAACAAAAGATTAAAATAAAGAAAATACAATATAAATAGAACAGTAAGTCTATTAACAACAGAACAAGGAAGAATCATGAAGTATGTAAAGTACAACTGAAGGAAGATGTATAAAAAATGTATTTAATGTATGGTTTTCCCCACCTGAAAATCTCGTTCAATACAATAGTTCAATGAAAACATTCTATTTATTACTATATGAAACGAATAAAAATACAATCTCATATCAATGAAAGTTAAGTTATTCAATTTACTAATAAAACTGAAAGACTAATCTTTGAATGGAGAATATTCTTTTCAATAAATTCTCTTCAGGTTCTACAATTCATATATAATCCAAATTAATAAACCGGAAAATGGTCAGGTTAAGGGTAAAGTATATCGTTCAAAGTTAAAGCATGTGAATCTAGGATTGTTAAACAAAATACAACAAAATTATTAATGTTGATGTGATTCATATGGAATGTAAACTTAAATCTGCATATATGTGAAGTGAAGCTTTAAGATCCATGATCCTAATAAATACGGGTCAGATTGGGTGACATAGAGGCTAAAAGATGAATTACCTAGAATGACCACCTCATTTTGTATTTATCAGTTCGACTACTACTGTGGAGCAAGTTATATTGGTCGAAGTCCTAGGAATCTACATGTTCGTGCTAGCGAACACCTTCCAGAGTGGCTAAGTAAAGGTTTGGTGAAGAAAGTGAACAGCTAGATATTGGCTCATTTAGTACAAACTGGCCATAGTGCCAGTATAAACCAAGCCTTTTAAATTATTTATAAGGTCAGTAATTTTTTGCCAAAACTTGTCACACATAAAGTCCTTTAAACGACTGAAGAAGTAGACATCCGGATGACGAAATCTGAGCTATGCATACAAAAGAAATATCTTCAACCATTCCTCCTTCCCTGGCCAACATCAAAGCCAACTAATCAATAGTAATCTTAGCTATTGAATGACCTAATTTGACTATTGTACTTACGACTCTTCGTAGTTCATTGTAATTGTCTCTGTTATCTTTATTCACAAATCCTTGCATTATTATTATTACTATTATTATTATTATTGGTTAAACATTATTAATCTACTCAATGCACGAGATGGTGGAGAAGATTTGTAGCTCGGGCGTTTTGTTTTCTGATCTTGATTCATTCACTTCGCATTCATCCCTCCTTATTACGTCTTACTAATTTAAATGACAACATTCCATGATACCGTTGTAGAGTATTGAGATTAGATTTCAGCACATATTAACTACACCTCAGATTATTTAATTTACTTATTTATTTAAATACATAAACACTGGTACAAGGAGGCATCAAATAGATATGCGCCACATAAATCACTCGATTTGTGTGAGGGCTAGGATACTGCCCGAGTTCCCAAACAGAAGCGGGTGGTTTTCTTAGGGGGCCACACCCAGAGCCTTCGACCTAAAGGGATGACCCACAAGGCAGTGGAGCAACGTCAGGTAGAAGGTGATCAACATCTAGTTGTTCCTTCATGATCCTGGTGCCCATGTGCACCATTGGTTTGAAACTAGGGTTTTCCAACTCTCCTAAGTGGACCCTCCGTGTTCACCAACCCGATTAAAGCACTGGACATTGGCTTTTCGTCCTCTCAATTTCGTAAAGAACACGTCCGCTGGAAGAAGGTAGTGAGAAGGACTTTCCTGGTAATGGTTGCATGCACGTGGCCATGTAAGAGGATTTCGAGAGGGAGAGATAACTCTTCCCATTCTCAGCTGTACCAGGGCATTTGCAACCGCAACTGTGGGTTTTTTGCTTTTGGCTTTGTTATTTAAATATAATATATACGCTATGCAAATCCATAATACTTTGTAAATTTTATAGTAACATAAATATGAAGTTCGATAGGAAGTACTTTTGTGTAAAGTTATATCCTTTTTCTCTGTATTTACATGCTAGAATTTTCATTATGCATTTTATTATTGTCAGCATGTTTTTCTTACGTGTTGAGTTATTATCAATCACTTCTATCTTCAAAGGATAAAAGTAATTCCAGGATTTCCATGGTGCTCTAGCTTCAAATGACCCATGAATTCAAATATTAAAATTACTACAATCTCCACAAAACCCCTTTGAGATTATTATCATTACGTGCTAACTAGTGACGGTCTCCGATAGGTATTACCTGGAGTTCTGGTGACCAATGGAGATCAACCGGGTTTGTACTGTGATAGTGATTTACTGACGACAATGATGGATGGTTGCACAACTTCGTCGATTGGTTGAAGTTGGACATTAACACCGTTGGATGCCGACTCAGTGGTCAAGTGGTTAAGCGTTCGCGCGCGAGACTGATAGGTCCTGGGTTCGGGTCTCGTGAGACAGGATCGTGGATGCTCACTGCTTCTAGGTTTTATATTGTATTCCAGCTTCAATCAACTCATGAATTCAACTATTAAAATTATTATAATATCCAAAAAAACCCTCTCTGATTATAAAAGTATACATTTTTCATTATTTATTAAAGTAATTCTCATTAAGCTTTAGTTTGGGGTGACACTATAATTTATAGACGACCAATGACAGACGCTAAACTGACCTTGAGAGTGTCCACCTAATAACTAGGACCAAATGAGGGTTATAAGCCAATGTGAGGAATTAGAATTATGATTTACAATTAATGAATAGAGTAAGGAATTAGATTTCGGGTTTTCATCATGAATTGACATCAGCCATCATGCCAAAACTATACTTAACCAAATGGTTGAGTGGATTTTGCGCCAGAATCTGAGAACTGTTATCTTATAGGTGATTGGTTCATCCATAAATTATAATCTTGCCTTAGTTGGTTCTTCTACATCACTATCTTTGTCTATCCTAAACCATTAAATTTGATTCAATATGTCTAGTTTTTATTGCTTTCAACGTTATAGATATTATAATTGAATGCATTTTATTTTCAACTCTATCTACTTAATTAATATGAATATTTGTTAGTATTTGAATGAATAGTTTGATAGGAATTGAGCGCCAGATGTATAACAGGTATTATGTGTAAATATTATATTTGAAATCATCTCAATAATTGAAATTTAAATAATTTTAAAGTTTCGTCCAGTGATATTGTGTGAACTTCTTCAGAGAACTACCACAGAATTTATACCGTTTAACAAACAAAGAAATCATCAATAAACACTTATTAATTCATATTCAAATGTTAATATTGTCAAATAGGGGAATATATGGATTGGTAAGATATGAATAGTGTGGAGCGTTTAGAATATGAAAATGTATGAATGAATATGTATGTATAGATTTATGTTGTTAATAGCTAAACTTTATCATTATTTTCCATACTCTCTCGTCGTTTATTATTTTTCTTCATCCCCTCCTACCATTTTCTTTTTTTCTCAAATATACGTTTCACTGTCCAATTACCTGAACACTTATTACTTAATCTTATAATTTTTATGAATGTTAATTCGGTGTCTATATTTTTTTTCTAATCATTGACCTATTTCCCATTATGTAACATTGATTTAAGCCTTTATTATTCTTATTACAACTAGTACACCTATCATCACAGTACTAATTTGTACTTTTCACTTATTTTTGTAATCTATTCCACTGTTATTATTCACTCAATAAACTGACTTCATTGGTTTAATAATTTCATATATGCATATAAATATTACTGTATATTAGCGTAAAGCCTGATGAGGATCTAATCGAAAACAATATTGTTTACTTATATATGTTGTTCTAAAATTTATTGGATAAATTCATTCTCTGTCTATCATCAAACATGTATTACTTTCGATAGTGTAATAAGAAGACGAAGATTATCAGAACTATGTAATTATATATTAGCGCAATATATTTCGAACAATCTGATCATACATAATGTACTTGTTAAGAACATTTATATTATAAAAATAAAAGGTCAACTAGTCTAGAAATGGAGGGTAAAAGGAGACAAGGATAATTAAAAAAACAATAATCTGAAAGCAACTTGAAACCTCATCATTCTTGATAATAAGCTTATATTACTAGGGTAGGTTTAAGGTGTAAACAAACTGTTCTTTGAATACATAGGGGGGGGGATGAATTTTCGTATGGTTAAGACTTCAATAGTTCTGACAATCTTCATCTTCCTATTACATTATCGAAATTTATCAAAGAACCTAGTAGCTTTAAATACATGCTGATCGTTTTGTTTATTGAAAATAATAGTACAAATCAATAGTTTTTTTTATCTTCAAAGTTTATGTAAAATGTGAAGAGACGAATGGATACTCATGACATTAAACCACTGAGATTAAATTTTTTTTATTGAAGTAAACAAAATGATTCGCATGTAATTGATAATAGACAGAGATTGAATTTATGTAATAAACTTAAACTATTAATAACATAAACCTATACATACACTCATTCATTCTTTTGCATATTATTCACATCTTATTGACCAATATCTTCTTACTTGATAAAATCAACACCTGAATGTCATTAGATAAGCTTTCAGTGAAGATTTGTTTGCTTGTTAAACGGTATAAATTCTGTGGTAGTTCTCTGAAGAAGTTCATACAATATCACTGGACGAAACTTTAAAATTATTTAAATTTCAATTATTGAGATGATTTCAAATATAATATTTACACATAATACCTGTTATACATCTGGCGCTCAATTCCTATCAAACTATTCATTCAAATACTAACAAATATTCATATTAATTAAGTAGATAGAGTTGAAAATAAAATGCATTCAATTATAATATCTATAACGTTGAAAGCAATAAAAACTAGACATATTGAATCAAATTTAATGGTTTAGGATAGACAAAGATAGTGATGTAGAAGAACTAACTAAGGCAAGATTATAATTTATGGATGAACCAATCACCTATAAGATAACAGTTCTCAGATTCTGGCGCAAAATCCACTCAACCATTTGGTTAAGTATAGTTTTGGCATGATGGCTGATGTCAATTCATGATGAAAACCCGAAATCTAATTCCTTACTCTATTCATTAATTGTAAATCATAATTCTAATTCCTCACATTGGCTTATAACCCTCATTTGGTCCTAGTTATTAGGTGGACACTCTCAAGGTCAGTTTAGCGTCTGTCATTGGTCGTCTATAAATTATAGTGTCACCCCAAACTAAAGCTTAATGAGAATTACTTTAATAAATAATGAAAAATGTATACTTTTATAATCAGAGAGGGTTTTTTTGGATATTATAATAATTTTAATAGTTGAATTCATGAGTTGATTGAAGCTAGACTAGTATGGAAAACCTGGAAGCACTGGACGACCGTTTGTTAATTGTTTGACTAAAAACAAATATATTCATGTATTGGTTGAAGTTAAACATTAACACCGTTCGATGCCGACCGGCTCAGTGGTCTAGAGGTTAAGCATTTGCTCACGAGTCCGACAGGTTCTGGGTTCAAAACTCGCAAAGTGGAATCATGAATACACACTGCTGAACAGTTTCATACTAGAACGAAACGGTCGTCCGGTGCTCTCAGCTTTTCCATGTTGGTCTTGCTTTAACTGACTAATGAATTCAACTATTAAACAAATATTCATTTTGTGTAATCAGTTGTGAATTAAGCTATTTTAATGATAACTGTTAATACTGTCTTATTACTGGAACCGAATTAAGTGAATAAAGATTATTGACTAGTTTCCTAATGTTATGAGTCGATACTTGGAGGACACTATAGGATCTTCCCATGTAAAAACTATAAATATACTAACTTTTTTCCTATTGTGCTTCTTACTCCCATCTAACCTTGTTACTTAGACAATAATCTCTTTCCTGTTCAACTGTGCTCTGATTTGGGGACTTGTCGAGTAAATTGGTGTTCGAGAATAGTAAACAGTAGGAATAGCTGGGTTGTAATAAAAGAGAAATATAACAAATATACAGACAAAGAAAGAGTTCCGTTAAACATCTCTTCTAACTAAGTTGATATCGTAAGGCAACAATAAATTGATCAGGTCGATAAGTATAATTATCAAATACTTTGTTTTGTCGGAATGAAATGATTTTTAAATTATCAGAAAGGGTTTGTGGAGATTTTAGAAATTTCACAGATTGAAATCATGAGTCAATTGAAGCTACACCACTATGGAAAACCTGGAAGCACTGGACGGCCGTTTCGTCATCTGCTCACTGGTGACTGACGTCAAGAGATACTCCTGGAGTTCTAGTGAGAAGCCGTTGCCGGTGGAGTTTACCCAGGTCTGTTGTGAGATATCAACTCACTAAAGACAATGGTGTACAGTGGCGCAATTTCGTGGATTGGTTGAACTTAGACATTAACACCGTTGGATGCCGACCGGCTCAGTGGTCTAGTTGGTCAAGCGCCTGGCGCGAGACTGATAGGTCCTGGGTTCGAATCTCACGGAGTGGGGTTTTGTGGGTTCGCACTGCTGAGGAGTTCCATACTAGGACTAAACGGCCGTCCAGTGCTTCCAGGTTTTCAATGATGACCTAACTTCAACTGACTCATGATTTCAATGAGTGAGATTTTTAAATTGTTTACTTAACATTCTATTTATTCATTAGAAATTATTCATTAGGTAATTTATAACTAACTTCTGGTTTACTTTATTCTATTTCTCTTGTTGTATAAACTACTCAGTGTGTTGATTAAGTAATTTGTATGTGGTAAGTAATAAAATCAGTACTCAGTGGTTTTAGAAAACCTTTATATTTATTATATGAGCTTCTCTTTTCTCTAAGACTTCAAATATTCATTTATTTAATTTTGATTTAAAAATCAAACTCAGTCTATGAAGTCAATTCATAAGATGCTGAGAAAAACCATTGTGAAAGTATCACTTTTGATGATCTGTTTGGGATTTTTGCTCATTTGAGTGAAACATCTAAAGTTTAGATATCTTTCTGTTAGGTATGCAGAGGAATATACCAATAATTATCGTGTTAAGTCGAATGGTGTCTTTGGACGTTAAATGGACATTTCCTATTGGTCGATATTTATCTCACTTGTTAAATATTGTGTAAATGTTATTTTCCATTTTATGGTACGATGTGGTTCGTTTGGTTGGTATATAAACAGAGTATGTCTGAAATATAATGATTCATAACTCAGAAGCTGTGACTTGAGTTCTAGACTCAACTGGCTGGGTTTGACAGCGAAGCAGGGCCAATCGGGACTCTAGGTCGTTCATTACGTGTTTACGTGTCACAGAAGCGATCGATAACTACGCTGCGCATCTAACCTGCAAACCACCCGTTACAACACTTTCCTAGTTTATAACCTATAATTATGACTTTAATATCACATGTTATCAACATATCAACCTTCGAAACATAAATGATTCTTACCAGCAAATGGCACTTCGACCACGAAACGGTTTAAAATGTTAAAGATGGTCTAAAAATAATGACAAATGCACAGTAACTAATGTCAATGTTTTTTTCATCACATATTTTAGATAATTGAAAGTGTATAATACAGCAAACTGTTGGGATGTTGAATTGAGACTTAAATGTGTACAATATGGAACTTCATGTAGCCACAACTCAGCTGAATACAAAGGGGGAAATTTTTACAGGAGTCTGAGATGACAGTCAAGGCAAACGCAAAAAATTAGTTGTTATCGCAAACATCATGTGGTAATTGAAAAATTAAGTTGTGGCCTAGCTATTGTGAGTTAGTAAATTTATGGAGTGGTCAAGGTCACCTCACACATATTGTCTGGATCGGTCCAGTAACTGGATTTGTGTACATATATAATTAGATCTAGCAAATCAGCTACTCACAAGTTCTTTGTCTTCTCACAACACATCGATGGTCGGCTAAGGGTTAGGTAGGTTACATTGTGACTGAATCAAATTGAAGACTATATCAGAAACGTGTTCGGAATAAGTTTAGTAACTAACAGATAGTAATAAGATTGTTGAAAATGATTAACGTAGACATTCTGTGACAAAAAGATACAGTAGTGTTAAAAGGAAAAAAAGATTTGTCTAATTATCGAAAACACTTAATAAATTCTTTGAAACAAAACATTCAATACTATTTTTCTTATTTGATACAACTTACCGATGTATACCGAATTTTTCAAAATTTATATCATTTTTGATAAGTAGTGTGTAATTATAAACCATTGGGAATAAATATGATTTTTTACCAAGCGGTAAAGTATCATTTTCTAATGGACACCAAGAATATATTTCACATGATCCAATATCATTCCCTGGTTTAATGATACATTTGCCTGTATGAGCACCTGAACAGAGAATAGACAATGAATAGGTTAAAATATCTAAGTTACAATTTTTTTTTAAATGAACAAAACACAATGACAATTAATTATTGAAATCTTATCTACACAATCCAAAATTGTGAAATAGTTCATTAATTGAAATAATACTTCACCCTGATCAATAAAACCTCCGCCTGGAGTCCTTCCGGGGGCTACTGCCGGTCCCAAACCCGGATAAAGAAGGAGGGGTTGGGCATGGGGTTAGCGTCCCCAACCCGTAGAAAACTGACTCGCTAAAAAAACGCAAACCAGAAAAATTATTCCAACCTTTTAAGCTCTGCCCTGGGAGTCAGAAGGTCTTCATTTAGAAGTACTATGACGCCTCATGATGAAAGACGAATTCCTTCGGAAGTTACGAGGCCGATGCCCCTTCTGACAACCAGAGTAACCACTTACTTAGGTATGTGGAATACTCGTACAATGTGAGAGGCCGGGAGAGTCTTTCAAATTGCTGCAGAAATGAGGAGATACAACTTAGAGGTGCATGGGATCAGTGAAACACGTCGGACGCAAGTTGGATAACAATGACTAGCCTCAAGGGAGCTTCCGTTATATTCCGGCCATGATGAAGAAAATGCCCGACATACACAAAGAGTTGCATTGATGCTGTCCAAACAAGCACAAAAGGCACTTATACGATGGGAATCTCATGGGCCAAGCATCATCAAAGCCTCCTTCAAAACAAAAAACGAGGGCATTTCACTGAACATCATCCAATGTTATGCGCCTACCAACGACTACAATGAAGACGCTAAAGTTCAATTCTACAATAGGCTGCAGTCAATCGTCGAGAAGTGCCCAACAAAGGACCTGACCAGTCTGATGGGAGATTTCAATACCAAGGTTGGAACGGACAACACTGGATATGAAGACATCATGGGACGACACGGACTGAGAGAAAGGAACAAAAATGGTGGGAGGTTTGCAAACCTATGTGCCTTCAATCAACTGGTCATAGGCGACACCATATTCCCACATAAACGCATACACAAAACCACATGGACTTCACTGGATCATACTACACAAAACCAAATCGACCATATCTGCATCAACAAAACGTTCAGAAGGACTATAGAGGACGTGACAACCAAGAGAGGAGCTGATATAGCATTAAACCATCGCTTACTGGTCGCTAAGATGAAATTGAAACTCAAGAAGCGCTGGACAATGGGGCGGACAATATCACAAAAGTTTAATACGGCATTTCTTCAGGATACTGACAAACTCAACAAATTCAAGATAGCCCTCAGCAATAATTTCCAGGCCTTACATGATCTACTCAATGGAGAAGGAACTACTGTGGAGAGCAACTGGAAGGGGATCAAAGAGGCAATCACTTCAACATGTCATGAGGTCCTGGGTCACAAGAAGCACCATCACAAGGAATGGATCACTGTTGATACACTGGATAAGATTCAAGAAAGGAGGAACAAGAAGGAAGCAATCAATACCAGTCGAATGAGAGCAGAAAAAGCCAAGGCACAAGCTGAATACACAGAAGTAAACAAACAAGTGAAGAGGAGCACCAGAACCGACAAACGTAAATATGTAGAAAAGGCTGCAAGAGAAAGAAACATGGGAGGACTGCATGACATAACAAAGAAACTCTCTGGAAATCACCGTAAACCAGAACGACCAGTGAAAAGCAAGGAAGGCAAGGTACTCACCAACATTGAAGAGCAACGAAACAGGTGGGTAGAACACTTCAAAGAACTCTTGAATCGACCAGCTCCACTGAACCCACCCAAAATCGAAGCAGCACTGACGGACCTCCCAATCAATGTTGGCCCATCAACAATTGAAGAAATCAGCATGGCCATCAGGCGAATCGAGAGCGGCAAAGCAGCAGGACCAGACAACATTCCAGCAGGGGCACTGAAAGCAGACGTAGCTGCAACTGCAAGGATACTCCACATTCTCTTCAATAAGATTTAGGATGAGGAACAAGTACCAACAGACTGGAAAGAAGGACTCCTGATCAAAATACCGAAGAAAGGCGATCTCAGCAAGTGTGATAACCACAGGGGCATCACTCTTCTCTCAATACCGGGAAAAGTCTTCAACAGGGTATTGTTAAACAGGATGAAGGACTGCGTAGACGCCCAACTTCGTGACCAACAGGCAAGATTTCGTAAGGATAGATCGTGTACAGACCAAATCGCAACTCTACGGATCATTGTGGAACAATCAATTGAATGGAGTTCATCACTCTACATCAACTTCATTGACTACGAAAAAGCATTTGATAGCGTGGACAGAACAACACTATGGAAGCTTCTTCGACACTACGGCGTGCCTCAGAAGATAGTCAATATCATACAGAACTCATATGATGGATTACACTGCAAAATTGTGCATGGAGGACAGTTGACAAAGTCGTTCGAAATAAAGACAGGTTTCTTACTCTCACCCTTTCTCTTTCTCCTGGTGATCGACTGGATCATGAAGACGTCAACATCTGAAGGGAAGCACGGGATACAATGGACATCTAAGATGCAGATGATCTTCGCAGATGATCTGGCCCTTCTGTCCCAAACGCAACAACAAACGCAGGAGAGGACGAACACTGTGGCAGCAGCCTCAGCAGCAGTAGGTCTCAATATACACAAAGGGAAAAGCAAGATTCTCCGATACAACACAGCATGCACCAATCCAATCAAAATTGACGGAGACGATTTGGAAGATGTAAAAATCTTTACATATCTGGGAAGCATCATTGATGAACACGGTGGATCTGATGCAAATGTGAAGGCGCGGATCGGCAAAGCAAGAGCAGCATATTTACAACTGAAGAACATCTGGAACTCAAAACAACTGTCAACCAACGCCAAGGTCACAATTTTCAATACAAATGTCAAGACAGTTCTACTGTATGGGGCAGAAACCTGGAGAACTACGAAAGTCGTCATCCAGAAAATACAGGTGTTTATTGACAGTTGTCTACGGAAAAGTACTTCGGATCCGTTGACCGGACACTATTAGCAACAACCAACTGTGGGAAAGAACAAACGAGATCCCAGCAGAGGTAGAAATTAGGAAGAAGTGCTGGAAGTGGGTAGGACATACATTGAGGAAAGCACCCAACTACGTCACAAAACAAGCCCTCGCATGGAATCCTTAAGGCCAAATGAGGAGAGGAAGACCAAAGAACATATTACGCCGGGAAATGTAGATAGACATGAGAAAAATTAACAAGAATTGGATGGAACTAGAAAAGAAGGCCCAGGACAGAGTGGGTTGGAGAATGCTGGTCGGCGGCCTATGCTCCGTTAGGAGTAACAGGCGTAAGTAAGTAATCAATAAAGTAAATCTCATTTTGTATAACATCAACTCTGGGATGCATCCAGCTGACGAGTCCCAAATAGGACGTAACGCGCGTCCTGGATTCCACCACTAGCCACTATCCATCTTTGCTTAGAAAGCTTGTGACTTAAGGCTATATCGAGGCAATCCGCGCAGGATGCACTTATGCCAACATGAGACTGATCAATTGCAGTCTTAAATAACAATGGGAAGATACAAGTAAAACAACACCAAGTGAATTTAATGTTCATAAGTATTTTAAATAAAATCTAGACCACCACTAACCCTGTATATTAAGAATGCGAATTGAAACCTACAGACCTAGAAACGTTTTTGCAAATTCATTTGTCCTTACAAATAAAAAAGATAGAATGATATCAACAATACGTAAATGTTTCAGTGTCTAAATGAAATTGATTGGGCAATCAAAATATATGAAATGATTGACTTTACGACAGAATTTCCAGGGAAAAAAGATCTTTATATCCTTTCAATTATGAGCGCAGTTACCAACTAAACCATGTTTCAAAAACTTGTTTACCTTCAAACAATGTTACATGGTATTATTCAGATGTCAAATTTACTTAACACTTCGTAAATATTGATGTTAAAATCTGACTACATATTTATACTGCTAAAGTTGATAGATAATGTCTGCAATTACATTTAATAAAGCTTACTGTATTTTGTAGTCTTATATTTATTGAGCATGTAATTGTGGCAAGTAACACTGAACGTACATTTTAGAATTATTTTCAGTGTGAAGATAATTTAGCTGGAAACAGATAACTCATTTTTAGATATGATCTTTAAAAATTCTATTACATGGTATTTAATTTATTCAAGAGCCCAAGGTATGAAATAATCAAACTCGATAACAAGGGAAAACTCATAGTTTCTATAATTAATTAGGAAATTATAAAAGGTCGATGCTGATAACATAATATTAACTGAATTTATATACATGAAATTACTGCAAGCATATGCTATAAAACACCTAATGTCATTTTTATAAGCATCTTAAAATTGATGACTAAGAAATAGCATAAAACTTAGGATGTTTATTTTAATTCGCTATATCCATAATTGAATATGCGCTTTAGATTGACAAATTATCTTTATTTCGTACTTAATTTTAATATTTGGATTGTAATAAGTGGAGAGGTGCCTAGTTGTTGGGACGCCAAAACAAAAACTGAAGATACGTCCAAAATGGTAATTCTCTAAGAGAAGGATTTCCATTCTACTAAATATTGAGTATACAAACAGTTATGAGCAGGTTAAACTCATGTTTCGTGCATTCGTTTGTAATAAATTATTAGTAATAACTGTAACAAAAGACAATCATGAAAAATCAGATACAGATTGATAAATCTATTGTATTTTAATTTTTTTGAACGATCATAGTCTGACAAAATTTTGTTTTTAAATGAGAGAAAGAAAAGTATTTTAAATTGCTAAACAGACAGTTCTTTATCAACGAATAGCTGTATTAAAGTCTTAACGGAAGTACTGTACTGTGGAATATTTCAAGAAAAATTAGTAATTAGGTAGTAATAACAGTGTATTGAATAGTAAACAATCGGATGTAACTAAGTCACTTATTTTACGAAACTTTAGTAAATGATATCATATGTTCTGTCCTATATAAAACTGACAAACGGACGAAAACTGTCGTAAGAAATTAAGCAAATTAAAAGGACCTTATTTCAAAGTATCTATAAATATTAATATGGGTTTTTACTTGTCATTTTTAGCGTAGTTTACAAGCTTCAAATAACTGCTTCCAAGTCATATTGTTAAACAGACATTTTCCAGCATAGCGTATTGAGATCAATCTGGGTAACTCGTTAAGATCGAGACAATAGTTTTTTCATTTTTTGTTTGTGCTTGTTTACATCCCACAGTTTAATTTTCACAAACTACCAGTTGTTAAAGTCAAATATCCTTACATTCAGTGGTTTAGTCGCAGTACTGCACCATGAACTCCGTAAAGCTAACTGAGAAATATATTACTTGCTTTTATAACTGCCTAACCCATGAAAAGTATATGTAAAGAAGAATTTAGATGCGAAAAAAACATGAAATTGTGTACGAGTGCGGAATCTTTCTGTAAATGTTGATTCAACTGATATTTAACTCTGAACAACTTCTATTGGAGGGATATCATATTTTTTCATGGATTGAAATGGAGTCTTGATTTTGACGGTTAAAACAAGGTATTATATCAGTTTAACCTAGAGAATATTTTATTCTAAGACACAAGGTGATGCGGATCAAATCATTATTGAAGACAATATATGTAAAAACAGGTGGATTTAATGAAATTTTAGTTGAAATAAATGCTCTAACATGTTATCCTAACTGATATGGTTTAGTATGGCTAGAATAGTATAGAACCTCCAGTTAACTGATTATTGATTTAAAACTGAGATACACAATTACGACCTGATGATTGAAGTGTCTCCAAAAACTTATCCGAAGAAAATTTTAAAACGCTGTCCAAGTGATTTGAAAATTCAGATTTGACAAGAACCTAACAATCTAAACACCAGTCCAATAAAATATATGTTTTGTGATATTTGATAAAAATCAGAACTCCTCGACAGTCTTGCTAACCACAATTCAGTCAGAGATCAAAATGGTCCGTAAAAATCCATGAACTAGCCAGGGAATCATTTAATAAATAAATATTAAAATGATAGAAGTAAATTTAAGTTAAAGCGCTTCTAGATCTTATGTAACAGATAAAGACTATGTTTATTGATTGAAATTCTAATTTTATAGAACAATATATGATAATTTTGAACATAAAAATCAGTTTAAAGGATAAATATGACTGTCACTACCAACTTACCATTGCCAAGATGGGTAATAAAGTAGGGTTTACAGTCTGAGTCTTTATAACAAGCTGCCTCGGGGACCCATGAACTCTAGAAAATGTATTATGCCAAAGGAACTACCTCTGGGCACTTGGAAAGTGACTGACGTTCAGTTTTAACCAAGTTGGTGATCACAAACAGTGCATTATTTTCCAAAGGTGGTACTATATAATCCGCCACGTCCCAACTCCGTATCCCGATCCCCGGGATATGCGAAAAGTTTGTAAAGCCGACACCTTTTACTTTAGTCGTGACTGCACTTTTAGCTATATCATTCTCTTGATATCCCTTCTCATAAATCATAACCCAGCTGTTTTAAATAAACAACCATAAGTTTTAATAACAATTTACCAAACGACATATATAAGAATAACCAATTGAAGTAGGCGTTGAGTAACTCCAATTCTAATGTTGGAAATCTGTACAAGTTTTGGCGTTTCATATTCAAAAAGGACAGCAATCCCCTTAACCATTTGTTTACGAGTGCCTACATATGTCGCGTTTTGAAAGTTCTCCGCTTATAACAGCAAACAAGGTCGTGATCGTTATCAGGTATTATAAATGGAAAAACAAAACTGTGAAATCTGAAATAGTTTCCACGAAAATACTCAGTAAATTATTTTAAATCGTTTCAAATTGTTTTAAGGAAAACAGAATAAGCAATCGCTGGGCAGGATTCCGTGTCCAGTGACAGTGGATCACCGGTCCTGCTAGGTAAGAACCTATGTATATATAACGGTAGAAGGGAAAGGAAAATAGTAAATAATAGTGAAACGCTGTCCTCGTTCCCCAAGAATATGCCAAGTTTTCTCTCATTGGACCCCTGAGAAGTCTCTTGGACTAGCTCGGTCAGCAACAAATTCCACTCTTAAAGAGTAGGTGTGCCTATAGTCCGTTCCTCCATGTTGTGTCTCCAGTTTCAAAGTGCTACCCCTAAGGTTTGTATTGTGATCGAGCTTAAAGAAGTGCTAAAGGTGATGCTGTAGGTAGTTAGAAGGTCACCTCTAGGTAGTCTATACTCAAATAAGTAAAGTTTCAGTGATTTGATGCTCTCTTCATAAGGTTTGATTTTGAGTCCTCGATCTGATATCGTGACTCCCCATTGGATATGTTCTGATGTATCCTTATCCTTTTGGAGTGGGGGAAAATAAGTACTATGTATCTATACACTAGATGATGTCGAACGAAAGTGTTGAAAATTAGGTGGAAAGTTCTTCTACACAGTTAGCGTAAGACTTATATCCTTATCAACATAGGATACCTTTAGAAAAGATTTACCTGTTGTATTCGTAGTCTGCAACATGCTAGATATACTGCTTTACACTTTGAAATGTTTACGATAATTCCATTGTTGCCCGTACAACTTTGAAGTTAAGTCAGATCCTCCTTAAATGCAGGTTTATAATCCTCATTGCAAACTTTTCTACAGAGCTTCACCTCACTAACTAAAAGTAACAAAAGCGACTTTACTTGTTATGGAGGATTATTAATATCAATTAAAAAGCGGTTCCTGGCACTGAACCCTGGGGGGCCCACTATGACATTTCATAACCTTAGAGAAATCAACCTAATCGTTTGGGCCCATTGTTAAGACATATTTGGTTGACCCTATCAAAAGATGTCAGAAGTCAAAGTATTTGACATTAGACTTCCCCTTGTGATCAAAGATAGTTGTCCGTCTGTTCCCCACGGTCAGCTGGTAGGTCATACAAGAATGACCGTTCCTAAAACCATGCCATTGGGCTGAAAGGTAGTTGGTGGATAGTAAGTATTCACGTATGCCATAGTTTTTGATGGTATTAACAGAAGTATTACAGGCCTGTTGCTTCAAGGTTCACTACGTCGGTGTTTTTTAAAGATCAGTCTGACGTGAGCCAGTGCCTGCTTTTCTGGTACCCTACCTCGTTTAAGAGAATATGAGAGCATCACGAGAAGCGGTGTTGTCACGATTGAAGCTCTTTCCGTCAGTTTGGCGGAATGGACCATATACGGGCCATGAGAAGTTGTAGTGTCATTGGACCATAACCAAATAATCCTCAAGGCTGAACACGAGACTACTCGGAAAACAGATACTCAATATTTAACTCGGAGAAATACCCAACGATGGAAAAGACGTGGACAATGAGTTGAATGAATAATAGTTGATCGTATGGTCCCTTCTGAATGTTACCTGATATCTTTTATCTGTACTAAATATATTGTTCTATCTCTAGCCTAAGTTTGTCCTCTATCATATGTTGGTAATTTTATGATGTAGTGAGTTGGTGTAGAGGATGATGTGACTTCCACGTAAGATCTTACAGATTAGGCAATTATATCATGACAAATCTACAATTATAGGATTAGGTCTATTATTAGAGCAGTACTAATATCATAGTAGACCATTGGTAAGCTCAACTAAAGAAACGCAACCTAGTGTTGTAAATCAGTATTTCCGCTTTAACTTTCTCTATCGATTATATTTGTGTAAACCCACTATTCTAATAATCCTCTGATTAATACTCACATGTATTATCGTCACGTTTTATTGATCAGTTCTCATTATTTACTAGCTCGATCGATACAAAAACTGATCACCTATATGAACTAATTAACTCCGCCTGTAGTCCCTTCGGGGGCTACTGCCGGTCCCAAGACAGGATAAAGGAGGAGGGTTGGGCACGTGGTTAGCTACCACATCCCGTAGAACACTGACTCTCTGAAAAAACGCTAACCAGAAAAATTTCTCAAACCATTTGAACTCTGCCCTGGGAATCAGTAGGTATTCATTCAGAAGAGTTATGACGCCTCCTGATGAAAACTACCTACCAACGACTACAATGAAGACGCTAAAGTTCAATTCTACAATAGGCTGCAGTCAATCGTCGAGAAGTGCCCAACAAAGGACCTGACCAGTCTGATGGGAGATTTCAATACCAAGGTTGGAACGGACAACACTGGATATGAAGACATCATGGGACGACACGGACTGAGAGAAAGGAACAAAAATGGTGGGAGGTTTGCAAACCTATGTGCCTTCAATCAACTGGTCATAGGCGACACCATATTCCCACATAAACGCATACACAAAACCACATGGACTTCACTGGATCATACTACACAAAACCAAATCGACCATATCTGCATCAACAAAACGTTCAGAAGGACTATAGAGGACGTGACAACCAAGAGAGGAGCTGATATAGCATTAAACCATCGCTTACTGGTCGCTAAGATGAAATTGAAACTCAAGAAGCGCTGGACAATGGGGCGGACAATATCACAAAAGTTTAATACGGCATTTCTTCAGGATACTGACAAACTCAACAAATTCAAGATAGCCCTCAGCAATAATTTCCAGGCCTTACATGATCTACTCAATGGAGAAGGAACTACTGTGGAGAGCAACTGGAAGGGGATCAAAGAGGCAATCACTTCAACATGTCATGAGGTCCTGGGTCACAAGAAGCACCATCACAAGGAATGGATCACTGTTGATACACTGGATAAGATTCAAGAAAGGAGGAACAAGAAGGAAGCAATCAATACCAGTCGAATGAGAGCAGAAAAAGCCAAGGCACAAGCTGAATACACAGAAGTAAACAAACAAGTGAAGAGGAGCACCAGAACCGACAAACGTAAATATGTAGAAAAGGCTGCAAGAGAAAGAAACATGGGAGGACTGCATGACATAACAAAGAAACTCTCTGGAAATCACCGTAAACCAGAACGACCAGTGAAAAGCAAGGAAGGCAAGGTACTCACCAACATTGAAGAGCAACGAAACAGGTGGGTAGAACACTTCAAAGAACTCTTGAATCGACCAGCCCCACTTAACTTTGGTGTTTGAATGAACTATTCACACCATTGTACTTGTTGAATGCTTGATTTCGAATTCTAAATAGAGTACATTCTTTTGTGGTTATCTAATACTTCTTGATCCGGTCGCGTTATTTCTGGGATTCTTAGTTCATACTATAATTCAAATGCTCTTGATTATCACATTGGCATCGCGATTGAGCCTGTGATGGAATTGTTGGATATACACTCAGTTTTTGATGCCTTTGAGGATTACTTTGAAATGTTCAAAATCTGGTCTATGACCAATGAAGATGATGAGGATGTTAATATTGCTGCATATTTCCTCACATTCATCGGAAAAGAGTATAGTATTCTAATTGTCGTATGACTTAGGAATTCCAGGATTAACGCAATTGAATTAAGAAGACACAGGCACCAACGAATGTATTGTATTTATAATTCGAAATTAAGCATTCAACCAGTACAAAGGTATCATTGGTTCATTCAAACACCACATCCGCCACAGCTTAAATTGGAGTCTAGGTGTTTGTAATCAATTGTACGTCTTCTTCTCAAATTCATCCTGAGTCTGTCTGACATTGTATTGGATAAGGATTCTGTATTATCTAGAATATGCTCATTAGCATTATAATTAAGAATCGAAATTGGAACTGACTCACCTAGTTCCTGAAATTGTATTTGATCTACATGTCGACTGTGTGTACTTAAGTCATCGATGTCTAGAATTCGCACCATCGATTTTCCGACATTCTTCAAAACAATACCCGTAGATGGTCGAAGATCATTTCCTCGATAGTATGTAACTTCTGCAGACTCCAGACATTTCATATTCGACCGAAGAATTCTTCCTTTCAATAGCTTCGCTGGAGTCTCCTTCATCACCGAATGTTTGGCATTTCTATATTGCAATAGAAAGGTATCTACTCTCTCCAGCTCATTAAATGTTGAGGGGGCTATAGAATCAATAGCAGTCTTTAATGACCATTAGAACACGGATGTCTGAGAGCAGTAAATAGATGTTTGCACCCTATACCGTTCAACCAGGTAGTGACTGCATCTGCAGCAAAATGTGAGCCAATATCAGTCACCAACACCAAGGGAACCCCTTCTCGACTAAACACCTTTCTTAATGCTTGTATTGTGAAATCAGAATTTGGTGAAGTTGTGAAAAAAACTTCAGGCCACTTGGAAAAAGAATCAATGACTACTAGTGCGTAGTATTTACCAAGAAATGGTCCACAATAGTCAGCATGAATCCTCTGCCAGGCCTCAGACGATACTGGCCATGGCACCCACTTCGAAGGATGATTTTTCAACTGATGACATTTCTCACAATTGTTTGCCGTACGACATATATCTGCATTTATCTCTGGCCACCAGCATGTGAGCCTTGCCAAGGACTTCATTTTCTCAGTTGCACATGAAGTTGATCACCGAAATTACACTTGGCAGCTTGTTTCTGTAATTCAAGGATGAATTCCCGAGCCTTTTGGTCATTTTGACGAACCATCTTATGAAACTTCGCCCTTTCACGGCATTCAAAACTGGTGCATTTTACATGATTTAACAATAGCTCTTTAAGAGTTGCATAAGGGAGTGAGATAGGTTTTTCTGGATATGCCAAAGTTTTTAATAAGCTGTACGCTTCTCTTCCAATGAATGTCAGAAAATGTGCCACAATTTTATCACCTTTAACATCTTTCTTGGTCATGCTCCATATTTCGAACCTTTCCA